CCTGCTCGACTTATGACCACCCAGACATACAACCGCCTCAGTCGTACCAAAATTTTGTCAAATTACGGACAGTGGTCCCTCGGTTAACGAACTCAATTCGTTCCAGAGGGTCGTTCGTTAACCGAAAATTTTGTTAACCGAAACCATTGTTTCAATGGGATTTTGGGTAATTGGTTCCAGCTCACCAAAAATTACATACAAAGTAAAAAAAAAAATACAGTAAAGTACACTTAATTTGAGGTGTGTATGTAGAAGGCTCCTGGTTGATGATGCTGATGTGAATTTGAAGTGGGAGGTGGAGGAGGAGAAGGGAGAAGAGAATGAAGTGGAGGTGGAGAATAAACATTTTACTGCTTCTTGGAAGGCGAGTCACCTTCCATAAAAATGTCAGGAACCTCTGGACTGACAGATTCTCCAGCAGGAAAATCCTCTCTCCTTTTTGAAGTGGAAGGCTGAGGGGTAGCATCTGTTTCCCGCTGCCTTTTAGAGAAGAAACTGTACATTTTTCCTTGTGGGGCATTTCTCCTCATCATAAGCTGATTTTTGAAGAAGGAGACCACTTTGTCCTCAACATTACACAAAATAGGTTCTGTTGTTTCCACATCAGGGTGCCTTGAAGCCAGTTTCCTGAATTTCTCCCAGTAGTGAACAACATCTTTTAAATCTGAAGAAGACATATGGTCATCACTTTCCCTTTCCACCTCACCACTGTCAGCTTCTAACATCTCATCCAGTTGCTTCAAGTCTTCAGGAGTAAGTTCCTGCTTATGAGACATCACAAGTTTTTCCACATCCTCCACTTCGAGGCCCATTGACTGACCAATGGATACAATCTCCTTGTCCAACTCCGCCTCTTCCTCAAATCCATCAAAATCATGGACTGCTGATGGCCACAGTGCTTTCTATGCAGAATTGAGTGATCTAATGGAAACTTCTTGCCATGATGACACAATCAATTTTACAGCCTCCAGGATGTTGAATTGTGTCTTCCAGAATTGTGCCAGTGTTAGTTCAGGATCAGTGGAAGTTGCCTGATAACACCTCCTGAACATTTTCTTCATGTACAGCTTCTTGAAGTTGCTGATCACATTCTGGTCCATTGGCTGTATGATTGATGTAGTGTTGGGAGGCAAAACAACACTTTGACAAAGTCAAATTGAGCCTCGAAAGTGCTGGCAAGTTCAGGGTCATAACCAGGGGCATTATCCATAAGAAGAAGAGCCTTTAAAGGGAGTTTATTGGTGGTTGGGTAGCTCTTCACAGAAGGGCAAAATACCTCAACAGCCCATTCATTAAAGAGCTGTCTTGTCTCCCATGCCTTACGGTCGGACTTCCAGTAAACTCCAAGTTGTCCTCTTACCACCTCTTGTTGCTTGAACAACCTGGGGTTTTCAGAGTGGTAGATAAGCATAGGCTGCAGTCAGAAATCCCCTAAAACATTGGCACCAGGCAATAGAGTGAGACTGTCCTTCATGGGTTTATGCCCAGGTAAAGAGGCTTCATCTCTGGTGATGAATGTTCTTTTGGGCATTTTCTTCCAGAACAGCCTAGTTTTGTCCACATTGAACACTTGCTGTGGAAGATAATTTTCTTCCTCCACCAGTTTCTTAAAGTCCACTACAAATTTTGCTGCTCCTTCTTTATCTGCCTTGGCAGCCTCACCATGCCTAATAACACTGAAAATGTCACTTCTTTTCTTAAATTTTTCAAACCAGCCCTTGCTGGCCCTAAACTCTTCAAACTCTGTGCCAGAAGAACCAGGTTGCTCTTCCTTCAAATGTTCGTAGATTTCCCTGGCTCTTTCACAAATAAATTCAGTCGAAATTGAATCTCCTTTCATTTGTTTTTCCCTAATCCAAATGAGAAGTAACCTCTCTGTTTCTGCAATTAAGGATCTACCTTTAAACACTGGTATATTTGTCTCTCACTTTCACTTCTTTAAACTTGTCTTTCTGCGCAAGAATTGTCGACACAGTTGATGCTGACATGCCATATTCTTTACTAAGCACATTTGTTCTAATGCCTTCTTCATGTTTCTTTATGATTTCCTGTTTAACCTGGATTGAAATCGCCTTTCTATATTTCTATGGACCCATGCAGGATTCAATAACAATTTCTCCACTAAAATTTTAAGTTTAATTGCTGTAAATAAAGATTATTTTCTTTAAATCAACACTGCACTCTGCTATATATTATCAATATGTTAAATAAATTTCAGAATGACCAATAATTGTGCTGTAAAAACATAAAAATAGTTTATGTTCAAGAGAGCCACAAGCAAGATGTTACCTCCACTGACCAGAGACACAAACTGATGCCTTGGTTGCTGATGGGCACACCAAAAACTAGTTTCCTGTACGGCAATTATGTTAAATACGTGTTAAAATGGCTAATAGTTTAATATAAAACTTTGAAAAATATTTAATAGCACAACCTTCTTGATATTTACTCAAATGGGAACAAATTTAAGCCCTAGAACCGATTACTGTATTGGCTGACTAATATTCCAGACGGTGAGCAAGCGAAAACATGTTGACATGTTTTCATGAGAATTTCGTTAACCAAATTTTTTTTCATTAACCGAATTGAATATTCTTATGGAAGGTAATTCGTTAACCGAAATTTCGTTAACCGAGGCATTCGTTAACCGAGGGATCACTGTACAGTATTTTCGAGTCCCGACGTTAGTGATTGCGCTGTGTACTGACAAAATTTTTGTTTGTAATTCACTTTAAAATTTCTGGCAAGCTTAAAAGTGAGAGTTCTGTGGTGCTGAGAAGAAAAAGAGACACCATTTTTTATTTTCTATGTAATATTTAAGCATTTTTGCCTTACGACCAATTCGACTTAAGACCTGGATTTGGGTCCCTAACCCCGTTGTAAGTCGAGGAGCAACTGTAGACATAATCTTGAAAACCACTAATTTTCTTATTCTGTCGTAGTAGAGACCAAATTAATGTACTGTATACCAATTCCTCATTAATGTCATTTCGTTATAATGTCGTTGAAAAATGAAAACATGTATGAAAATTATAAATGTGTGACAATTTAAAAAATTCAGTACGAAGACGCTCAGCGCCTGATTGTATTAATAATAATCATAATAATTAATGGTTTATTGAAAAAGTTATGCAGCCCAAAGGCTGAAAATATACATTAAACAAAAATGACTTATTACATACAAAGACATGGGGTAGGTGGGTCATTTAACATAAGCTTTCATTACTAAAAGGAGAAGGAACATGAATTGAACATACAAATTATAGTTTACAGAGTGATGGCAGGGGCTAGTCACTTGCCCTACTGTGTGAGGTCAGGTAGGCCATGAGGTGTAGTAACTCACCCTTAGATGCTGACAGAAGCACTTCACGCAGTCATGGAGACACTGGGTGGTGTGGTGTTCACGTGGTGCAGTAACTCGTCCATAGGTGTTAACATGAAGGACCTCACGTGGTCATGGAGATACCGTGTGGTGTGGGGTTGTTTTGTGTTATCTCGTAGTCAGGTTTAAAGCCGACCCTCTGTTGTTCCCAGGCAGGACTGATTAGCTCCTCCTGGTCAAAAGATGGTGGTCGGTTCCCAAGGGCACTCATCTCCCTGGTGGGTCACGACTCTCACTGGTACTGTCTAGTGCTGAATTCACTGGCTTAAACACTGTTCAACACTGATCCCACTTCTTTCGGAAACGAAATGGCCACTTTTGATTATGTTGATATCCTGGTGGTGAGGAAGGGTCGGGGAGAGGGACGTGGGTAATGGGGCTGAACATTGGCCAAGGTGGCAGCTGCACAGCAGGAGTGCCTGATAGGTCTTGACCTTCCGCTGGCTGTGGAAGAGGCCAGCGTATGCGCCATATTTATTTGTTATTGTTCGGTGGTTGGTTAATGCTCTTCCAACATTCACTTAAAATCCAATTATGAATTTATTTGATGTGTGGTTGGTAAATAGCAATCCAAGTTCATTGGTAACTTTAGTTGAGTACACATATACAAGAGTCCAGCTAGAAGGTGTGCTTTTCTTGCTGGTCTGTGGACGACTGCCTCAGGGACGTCACAGAGTCCCCTTGCCGGCTCCCTCCACCTACAGGCCCAACATATCGTAATTCACACATTTGAGCCCTAGAATAATGAATTCTAAATGTGGATTATGCACCACTACTGGTTGTGGTCACAGAAAGAAGAGGAAAATTGTTACATTAGAAGTTAAATTAGTTGTGGTAAAGAGATTTGAAGAAGGATGAGCTGTAAACATAGCAAGAACTGTTGGTTTGTTGTCATCAGCTGTAGGTAAGAACAATTTGTGGAAATGCAGAAAATATCAAATCATGTGCTAAAAGTGTTACTCCATTATCTGCTGCAAAGTTAACTTGTAACAGAAGTGGCATTATGGAAAATATGGAGAGAATGCTGAACATGTGGACCGAGGATCAACATTAATGAAACTCTTCATGCTCGTTGCTCTACCTACAGGCGAAAGCTTTAAGTTTGTTTGAAACTTTAAAATAAGAAAAGGTGATAGTGCTGAAAGTGAAACATTTGTGGCAAGTTATGAGAAAATTTTGATCTGAAATGTACCCAAGGAACAGAACCCTTATTTTTATCATTGTGTCTATGGTAAAATCGTTTTCACTTAATGTTGTTTCACTTAAACTTGTGGTTTTCAGGAACCTAACAAGGAAGTTAATGGGGGAATTGATGTACCTGGAATTTTTTAAATTTACACCTGGAAAACCTGTATAAGCCAGGGATTTTTGTTTTGTCTGGTCAGTAGACACCCAGTGATGACTGGTCCTCTCATCTGCTGGTTCCAGAAGGGAGCAATAGGCTGAGCGCCCTCCACCACCAGTGTATCACGAAATCCTAAATGGAACTGTACATGAATTTATAAACTATTTCTTACAGTAGTTTCATGAATACCATAATTAATTTATCTTTTTATAAGATCAGTGCAAATTTGTATGTTTTCAAATTTAATGCTATTTTTGTCTGTTATTTTTCCAGATCTTTCTCCAAGATTGGTGTTGGTGTCAGGAGTACGCAAAGTTGGTACCCTTGTGGAGGGCCAGTTGGTGTACTGTGTAACACGTGTTGTCTTTCTGCCCTTAGCTGCCCCACCTGACACAGAATTAAATCTCCAACAATGTCGGAAACATGCAAATCATCCTTCTGGGTAAGTTTTCACTGTAATTGTGTTGTCATTAGAAGCTAATGTGATAGCTGGCAGAAAATCACCATCTTTTCATTTGGTATTATTCTGCTATTAATATACTGTACTGTTTGTCACCATATTTTGCTTGTGTACTCTACCAAAGTAGCACACATTCATGTAAAATGTTTCTTACTTTCATTACAGCATAGTACAGTAAAGCCTCGAATAACGACGGTAATGTGTCCTCCAATATTGCAGTGTAAGGTGAATCATCGTAACGCAAATCACTAATGACCATTAAAATAAAGCAATAATAATGAGATGCGTTCCCAAGTGTGACCTTTTCATATTTTTTGTGTGGCTTTTTACCCTCTTTTACCCCCAAAACAATAAAATTAATGAAAAATGCAAACTATATTCTTTAAGTAATGTTTATGAATGCACCTTATACAATATAAATGAATAATAATATGGTCACAAGAGGAGATGGGACGCCATTGTTTTCGTTAGTGTTTACACCCATAATGTCAGTTATCCATCTGAAACAAGAAAATAAGACCCTGGTTGTTGCTATAGTAAAATTAATGTAACAAAATATGTTTGTTTTAATTAATGTTATTTAATTTACAGTAAAAGTAACCATTGATGTTAAAGAAAAAAGAGAGTGATACTGGAATGGTAATTTGTACGTGCACCCTCTAGGAAACTGCTTCATTTATCTTAAGAATATGTACAAAAGATTCATTATTGTTTATTACTGAATATGTATTTGATTGAATTAAGGTTTATATGTGTGAAATGAACAATGCAATTCATTAATATTAAGTAGAATAATAAAACACACAAGAGGAGACGAGACGGCATTGTTTTCGTTCATATTTACAACACCCGTGACGAATGACAATGGTTCTACTTCTACATAGAAACTGAAGAAATAAGACCCTGGTTGTTGTTGTAGTAAAATTTATGTAAAAAAATGAATATGTATGTATCAAGTAATGTTAATAAATGGAACAATAGACATAGGTAACCATTAATGGTAAAGAAAAAACAAAATAGATTGGGAATGCCATCGTATATAAGTGCGTACAGTTTATGTGAAAACATCGTCATTTCTCTCCATAATATAAAAGCAACACTTATTACTGTTCATATACAGTATGTTTTAACTAATACTTACTAATGCAAAAAAGAATTCTACTCACAAATGGTGGTTAAGTCTAAAACATAAGGACAGCCAATGAATATTGTGCAAGTTTTTACTCAGATGATTTCGTCAATGAGGTTCAACTCTGGCTGAAGCTGTAGCTTTCCATAAAGCTGTTGCTGAAACTGTTTCTGAACCTGAAGTTGTTGTTGAAGCTGCTTATGATGCTGAATTTGATGGTGTAGCTGAGGTTGATGGTTTAGCGCCTTTGAATAATAAAGTTGTCAAAAGAACCTTTCACAGCCACTTTCTTTTCTCATTATAATGTATATCTTTATGTAGAGGTCATATGTGTTTTTCACGTCCCTGTTAATTTTAATGCTTCGTTCTGTTAATGGATCCACTTCAGAAAATAATATTATGTTTATTGCTTGCTCCATATAATATCCACATACCTCTCACCTTATACATTTTCTTTTAGCTTTTGAACCAACACTACCATCACTTGCTCTCTTGCTCATGTTGAATAGTGACGCAAAAAATGCCATAAGAAACCCGAGAATGTTTTTCTCCTTTTCCTGTTCAGATGCGTGAAAACAAAGGGCCCATCAGCTGTGACTGTTTATACTAGTGATGCTGGCATCACCACTAACAATCCCGGCAGCCTCCATGCGCAAAGCGTGTTTTTTTATTTGTATAATACATATCGGGATTTAGTTATTATTTACATATATGAAAATGTAATTTTACTTAATTTTTTTATAATATTTTCGTCGTAAATACAAAGAAAATAATGGCGTAAACTGAATAGGGTCTTTAGCCAGGGTCTTAAATATGAATCGTCGTTAGTAGAACCGTCATTATGGGAGGCTTTCCTGTACTATATACTGGACAAGACATTACTCCTTTTTCCAAGAAATCTGTAGTTTTGTTGTTATTGGCTGAGCCCCTTATGGAGTTTACCTGGATGCTAATACAGTACTCTGTTGACATCTCCTTTTTACAGGTTCTTAAGGGGAGCATCCAGCTGAAGCACAAAATTCGTTAATAATTGAACAATCAATATCAATTTCCTGTCAGCATTTAAGGACACCAGATACCCCTGAATCGGTTCTGCCTAAACCCTAATGCAGTAGGGTCGGTATATATACTGTATCGCGACTTTATAAAAAAATAATAATTATATTGCGACTACCAAAATTATCAACATTTTCCTATATATATACAATATAGCGATAAATGTTTTTATTTCGCGAGGGAAATCATGCAGGAATTATTTCAAATTTATCACTACTACCAAAATTATCGAAATTTTCCAATACTGTATACGGTACAGCAGACTTTCAACTTTAAGCCTAAAACCACCAAACCCTGGCTGGGAAGGTGAGGGTGGGGTGGGGGGGTGATATGTTTGACAGTTGATGCCAAGGTCTAGTGCTTATTTATTTATTTATCTGTCCTTAAGAGTAACTTGAAGTTTTTCTCTTATAAAATGTCACTGAACTGACATGGGAGAATATAACTGACATTGCTGGAATTCTTATAAGATAGTGATGAGTTTGGATGTAAACATGCTATAGCTCGCATTAGACATACAAATTTTAGTTTAATTAGTTATTTTATTGAAAAGGACTAAAATATTATATATGATGTCTGAATTCAAATTATTCGCTGTCTTGGAAGGATTCCAGCAATGCAAATTATATTCTGCTAACTTTAGTCTGTGCCATTTTATGTCAAGTTTAGTCCTTTTTATTGACCTGCAGAACTTAACCCAATTTTCCCATTGATTACATGTAATTATATATCGCGATTTAGTATATAGCGAACATCCTTGGACCCTATCTCACGATATGTCTCCACCTACTGTAACAGATTTTTCCCTTATATTCTTATCAGTTTTCAAAATCCTACTTCTTCATAACTTCTCGCTAAATTACAGTACTCCCTCTTTATCGACGGGGGTTACGTTCTGTAGACGGCCGTCGATAAAGAAACCGTCGATACCGTGATGGTTACGTAATTTTTCTAACTATTATTAGCATATGTTGAATAAATGTACCTTTAAGCATTAATGCGTTTCCTTTACACATAACCTTAAATAATAGTGTATAAATAATAATATAATAAGTGGACAAAAATACTAGCAAACTTACGATTTCATTTATTGAAGTGAACATCGGTCCTTACAGTAAACAATACAGTGTACAGTATATACAAGTGTGATGATTGAGGCTTATTAAAAGCCTGACCAGTCAGATGAGTATGATGAGTCAAGGTCTGCATCTTCTTGAGGGGTGTGGGCAGGTACTGCGTCTTGTTGTTGTGAGGTGCCGGCAGCTTCTACGTCTTGTTGTTGTGAGGTGTCGGCAGCTTCTGCCTCCTGTTGCAGGATGCCGGCAGGTTCGGCGATGGCAGGCACTCGGCGACTGAAGAAGTTGGTGATGGTGGTCTGTGCTTTCTTGCTTCTCATTTCCCTCTGCAGTTCTATATATGGCAACATAACATTTTCAATAGCTCTCTTTGCTTTAAGGGACCTATCAAGGGAGGGATCAATGTCATAGAGACGAGCAGAGAGGGCCTTACTCATTCTTATTACTTCACCAAGATTATCTAAAGTTAAGTTCTTATTTTCATCATCACTCACTTCATCTTCTGTTTCATCCTGCAGCTCCACTAATTGTTCTAGTTCATCACTTGTAAATGGATCCCCAACATTTCCCAATAACTCTTCTTGCACCTCTGCCGCTGTTAAGTCAGAGAACCCTTCACCTCCAACTTCATTTGCCATAGTTATTATGTTGCGTAACTGAGGCTCGGCTGTTGGGAACCCTGTGAATGTTGGGACAATTTCAGGCCACAATTTTTTCCAACATGATCGGACACAGTTCTGCGACAGTTCATTGTGGCTTTCAGCGATGAAGTTTATGCACTGTGCAATATCAAATTTCTTCCACATTTCTCTGGGTGTCACATCAGCATCCTTATCAAGGCACTCACGAATCATGCTGAAAGTCTTCTCTGCATATTTAGCCTTAAACACGACAATGACTCCCTGGTCCATTGGCTGGATGATGGAGGTGGTGTTTTTTGGCAGGAAAACCACCTCAATGTTGGGGTGGGCAGTCTTGAGTTCTTCAGAGTGGCCAGGGCAATTATCTAGATATAATACCACTTTGAACTCCATGCCAAGTTCATCCAGATAATCTTTCACCTCTCTAGCAAAGCAGTTTTTCAGCCAATCCACGCACAAATCGGATGTCATCCACGCTTTCTTGTTGTTCCTGTAGAAAACTGGTAGCAAGTTCATGTTTTTATTTTTGAGAGCCCGAGGTCGTGCGGCAGTGTATAACAACATGGGCTTAATCATATGCCCTGCCGCATTCCCACATAGCATCACTGTCACTCGGTCCTTCGCAACTTTAAATCCAGGGGCACTTTTTTCCTCTTTAGAGATGTAGGTTCGGCGTGGCATCTTCTTCCACCATAGGCCTGACTCATCAGCATTAAAAACTTGTTCTGGCCTATAACCCTTTTGTTCTATGTGGTTAGCAAACTCTGCAGGGTATGCTTCCCCTGCCACAGTGTCTGCTGATGCTGCTTCGCCAGTCACTTTTATATTATGCAGCCCATAACGATGTCTGAATTTCTCGAACCATCCTTTGCTAGCTGCAAATTTTTTCAAATTGTCACCATCACCCTGATTATCACCATCACCCTGATCATCACCATCACCATCACCAACACCATGATCATCACCTTTAGAAAACTTATCATAAAGTTCCTTAGCTTTCTGCCTAATAAATTTCGAGTCAAGTGGTATGCGGCGGCGGTTTAGGTCCTCTATCCAAATGTTCAGTGCTTTTTCCATTTTAATGAGGGCATCATCACGCACATGGCTTGTCACTTTTGATGTCACTGGTGCACTTGAAGCTAAAGCGTGCTTCAGATCCTTTGCACGTCGTTTAATTCCACGCACACTGGATTCGTTGAGCCCAAAGTGGCGGCCAACAGCTGCGTAGCTCATACCGCTGTCGAGTTGTTTCAGCACTTCATTCTTCTCATTCAGCGTCAGCACTCGTCTTGCCCTCTTAGGTGTAGATCCAGAGGGAGCAGCAGGTCGTTTGGGAGGCATGGTGATATAAGTTGATGTGATGAACCACCAGCAAAAGTTGAAAATCAAAGACTGTTGCCCACGCGGCTTGGCTGATGTCTGTGTTCAGGGAAGGCGGGCCGCGGGTAGACGCTAGTCACGCCACTAGTGCCGCCTAGCGGCGAAAGTACAAACAAGGCCCGCAGAGTTCAAATAAAGCCAAAATAAAAATCCGTCTAAATAATCCGTCGATAATCGAAACCGTCGATAAAAAATCCGTCGATAAAGAGGGAGTACTGTACTTTGAAATTCACGTGGAGTATAGGTAATTTATTCCTCTTGAATGTAACATATAGATATTTCTATTTATTGCTTTCATATTGGGTGCATGAATTTCTTTCCTAACTTACCATTTTTTCCTCCAGCAAATAATAAACCAAGCCAAATATAAAGAAAATCTATATGTTACGTCATGCACAGTATGTTATTCTACTGGACTTAGTTTTTGTTTTATTAGAATCGTCCCATAAATGGCCGAGCCTTACGGAATTGAAGGTTAGAAAAACTCGTTCTGAGATATGGGCAGATAAAGGTGGCGTGAGAGCAACTCACGATTGTACCTCACTCTCGCATGTTTGATGGGTAACTGACTCGTGACGACAGTCTCCCATGGTTAGCTAGCTGAGAAGGGTGCCAAATACTGACTTTTACCAGGTGATTGGTATTACGTTACACCAAAATATTATTATAAATACTTTTCTACAGCTTTTACTATGTAAACAGAAGGACCCTCTAAATGAAGGTGGGGGGAGTGGGGGGAGGTAGAACAGTCTTGCATAGCTACATAAATATTACGAATTATGCAATAAAAATACGTCAGCATATAGCCATAAGCAGTGGTACTTTTTCATAAGCTCACTTTTAATGTTCTTGAGGTAGATGTTTATCACAAGTGGGTACAGTATACTATGTCGTATCTTATTTTAAATTTAATTTTTTTATTTCATTAAATATTTAGATTTACCTCCTGTTTTGTAAAATTATAAATTTTTTTAGTATACACAGCTCCTCCTCAACTTACGACTGGGTTAGGGACCCAAATCCAGGTCGTAAGTCAAATTGGTCGTAAGTCGAAAATGCTTAAATAATACATAGAAAATCTAAAATGGGCTTCTCTTTTTTTTCTCAGCATCACAAAACTCTCACTTTTAAGCTTGCCAGCCATTTTAAAGTGAATTACAAACAAAAATTTTGTCAGTCCACAGCGCAATCACTAACGTTGGAACTCTAAAATAAGTAATTTGACAAAATTTTGGTACGACTGAGGCGGTTGTATGTCCGGGTGGTTGTAGGTCGAGTATGTCGTAAGTTGAGGAGTAGCTGTACAGTAATATCTCCGTTAGCCGGAATCCTTCAAACCCGGAAATCTCCGATAGCTGGAATTGAAATTTGCTTGGAAAATCATTCCCAAAACCGGAATTTTTCCCAAAAATTCTGGCTTAGGAACAAGTTTTCCGAGGTTGAAAATTGAGAGAATTTTCTGAAAATGTCTTGAATTAAGATGAAAGTTAAAGTATTTTCGGGAGGGGCCTGACCTGACTCAAAGGGTGGGGAACTAGTGGTCTCATATTACTGACCCTTTCTTGGCTGGGGGATTAGTGGGTCTCATGACCTGAAGATGTCTTGAGTAAACAAGAAACCTAAAGTATTTTGAGGGAGATTGTGTAAATGACCAAAGTTGTATCCTTTCAACATTACATTACAAAACATTTTAAAATATGGAGTGAGAAAGCAGAAAGGTATGCGTGGAAAACTGATAACATGCACCAGTGTTGCCAAACGATAAGCTCCTCAACAGCTGATCTTTTAATTCACCTCCATGCTGTCACACAACAAGATCCTCACTGGATACTTGTTTTCTTAATTCCCAGTGTGTGTGTGTGTGTGTGTGTGTGTGTGTGTGTGTGTGTGTGTGTGTGTGTGTGTGTGTGTGTGTGTGTGTGTGTGTGTGTGTGTGTGTGTGTGTGTGTGTGTGTGTGTGTGTGTGTGTGTGTGTGTGTGTGTGTGTGTGTGTGTGTGTGTGTGTGTGTGTGTGTGTGTGTGTGTGTGTTGTGTGTGTGTGTGTGTGTGTGTGTGTGTGTGTGTGTGTGTGTGTGTGTGTGTGTGTGTGTGTGTGTGTGTGTGTGTGTGTGTGTGTGTGTGTGTGTGTGTGTGTGTGTGTGTGTGTGTGTGTGTGTGTGTGTGTGTGTGTGTGTGTGTGTGTGTGTGTGTGTGTGTGTGTGTGTGTGTGTGTGTG